TTTTTTTTTTTTTTTTTTTTTTTTTTTTTTTTTTTTTTTTTTGTGTCTTTGCAGATGTTTAACATCTTGATAAAAGTTTTGAGGTTTTTCTTTTCTTTCAAATCTGTCTTTGGCTAATGGAGCTTGCCGTGGCTGCTGCCATTATGGCCGAACGATGTGAATATTTTCTCACACCCGGTTCAGCTGTTCCTCCCCGACAACAGCCACACGCCTTCTCCAAAGCGCTACCATCACCCGTGACACCCTTCTGCACCAGCGATGGCCGAGCTGCGCCACAGGGCACCGCGGTCTCAGCATGTCCCCAGGGCCACCACCAAGGAGAAGGGGCCACACGGGAGGAGAGACCCCCCCACACACACCCACCGGGGTGCCCTGGAAAGCAGCACCAGGCACTGGGTGCTCGCACCTCCATCCGTGGTGGTGGTGACCCCGGGGTGGGTGGGTGCTGAGGTGGCTGCAGGCCCCTGTGCGGGTGGTGGAGGTGCCAAAGCAAGTATCTGCCTTCGTGTGGCTTTGGCTGCTGGATTTCTAACCCGAGGGTGACACCGATCCCCGAGCTGCAGCCGCAGCACCCAGCGCACGGACCCACCTGCACGGCAAGGCTGGGCTGGCTCCTGGCGGGGAGATGCCTCCAAACTCAACCAGATACCTCTGGGGTCACGTCAGCCCCCATGAGACAGCAACACCCAGGGCAGGAGCCTGGCAGGGACCCAGCCACGCACATCCCAGAGCTGATCCTTCTCCGTAACTCTCTTTTCCACTGTGGAGACAAGCAAAGCTTCAGGAGACGTTTCTCTGCACATACAATCATGGCTTGACTCTACTCAAGCTTTGCAACGCGCTCGGTTAAGTCGTGCACACTTTCATGGTTTTCCACGTGCAGCGTGTTACAAACACCCTCGATAGTAAATAGATCCTCAAACATCAAAGAGAAATTCTCAACATCTCATCCCAGTATCTCTTCATCTATCAATTAGGTGATTAAAATCTGCATGGTAGCTGAATAACAGATAATGTTGGTTAAGGGCAAAAAGTCTTCGCCGTCATTACATAATGCCCTTCTTTGGGGCGAAGGGCACTTCCCACTGTCTCGCCTGATCAGCACAGGAAGACACCTATATTTGGTAGTCAATGGAGATGCCGGTCCTTCTTCGCACTATAAAAATGGTGCTCTGCCAAGCAGCCAGCAGAGAGGCCCCGGCCAGCCCGCCCAGCCAGCACGGGAAGCGCTCGGCGGCAGCGGCAGGATGCTCCCCTCGCTGAAGGCTGCTCTCGCTCTCCTCTCCCTGCTCCAGCTCATCTCTTCCAGACCACTGACCACCACCTCTCCCAAACTAAAGCTCTCAGAGATCACCCACCGCATCCAGCAGCTCAACTCAGGAGTGCAGGTAAATGCTGCCACACCTCCTGGCTTTTCTTTGCTTACAGACCAGAGGAACATCATTGATGATGATGATGATGATGTTCCTTGGTGCTCAGGGCCAGGCACTGGCACCCTCTGGGCCATGCAGGAGCTGTTCCCAACCGGCTCAGCCTGCTGCATCCCACCTCCAGCTTTGGGCACCCTGGCCCCTTTCAGCCTAGACTTTGGGTGCTCAGCACATCACTCGGTGGTGCAAGAGCTGCTGGGGTCAGGCAGGGTGAAGTTTTCCACCTGACATTGGGCACATTGCAGGAAAAAAATGCTGAGGAACAAAACAACCTCCCCCAAACCTCCCTGTCCAACAGGCAGAGCTGTGTTGGGGATGGGGACGTGGTGGCCCGGTGCTGCAGGAGCTGCCAACGGGTCCCTGCTCTGCTGAGCACCTGGGGACCCTCCCACCCCTTCCCAAACAACTGCCTGCACCAACAAACCTGGGGCCCATCTTCCCAGGAGCCTGTTTTGAAATAATTTGCTGAAAGATGGATCTCGGCGGTGGCGGCACTGGGGTTCATCCACACCGTGTCCCACCGGAGAGGGATGGGGACACCCTGCCCATCCCGGGGGAGGGCGCAGCTGGCGGCTCCTCGGGGACGGTCTCATAACAACGGTTCTCCCTTGTGTCACCTCTCCAGGTCCCCTGCAATGACACCCGCGTGGCACAGGTCACCTTCACGGATCGAAAGGTAAAAGATGATGGCGAGACAGGTGGAAAAAAGCATTTGTAATAAACACAGACATAGCCGGCGCCCTCCTCGCCACGGCGCACAGCCCACGGAGCGGAGGTAGTTTTATTAGTCACCGAGCAAGAGCTGCTCAGGTGCCAGTGGCTGGGGGCGAGCACACGGCTGCACCCAAGGACCTGCCTCCAGCGCCTCTGTCCCCCCCCCAGCTCCCCCCAACCCCGGCCTTTGGGCACAACCCAGGGCCTGAGTCACCACCCAGGGCTGTGATTCCAGCCATGAATGAAAGGAAGGTTAGGAAGTTGCTGTGAACTCTCCCACCAGCCCCGGACACCTTGATAAGTAGCATCAACTTAAATCAACTCTGTGGTTCTAACAATTCCCCTCTCCGCTGTTTTTCCCAGCTGACGGAGCAGGAGCTGCTGTGCCAGGCTGCCACGGCGCTGGCCAAAGTCGAGAAGTGCAAGAAAGACTATCAGCCGTTCATCATCAACCTGCAGAGCCTGCACGGCCAGAGGGTAAGCACCAAGCCCACCCCCCCGCTCTGCGGCTCTGAGCCCCCCACGCCGGCTTCGCCAAGCACCGGCTCCCCGGAGGTACCCCCAGGGCTGAGCGAGCCGGTACTTGTGACCTGCACAGGATCGTTTTCCTCCTCGGGAAGGGGGTGAATGTCCCCGGGCCAGTCCTGACCACTCCAGGCCAGTGGCCACGGGGGTCACAGCGCTGGGGCGGGAGCCGGGTGCTTGTCCTTGAGCCAAGGACAAATTCCCACCCTCCTGGGGCAGCATCCTCACAACTCTTTACTGAATTATTTATATAGAGACAGAGGGAATGGAAACAAACCATCTGCTTGGGCTGGTAGCCTGGCTACCTGCCCTCTCAGCCGCTAAACCCTGCTGTCAGCTCTAATGTCTTTACGCTTTCCCTTCCCCAGAACTGCTCCCTGAGCAACGAAAACGAGATTTATCTGCGCAACTTCTTGCCGGAGCTGGGGAACTTCACCCAGGGGATGTACAGGCGCCTGGCCGTGCTGGCTGCACAGTGAGACGGGGCCGCCGCCAGCCCCGAGCCCCGGGACCTTACTGCTGGTAGCTCTTGAAATAGGGTTTGCAGAGGTTTTCTCGGGGTTTTTTTTGGGTTTTTTTGTTTTTTTGCTCCTCGTTGCATGCACTTCCTCAGCTCTGCCCCAGCCCTCCTAAACCCAACACACCCTTGACAGCAAGTCCCCGCGGGTAACGCCGGGCACCCGGGGTCGTCCGGCCGCGATGGGAATCGTCCCTTTGCCGGCACCTCCCCAGCGACCTTCCGAGTTAGGCACGGCTCAGCCTCCGCAGGAGAGGCCTCGTCAGGCCGAGGCTGCCCTTACCCGCTCCCTCCCACCCTGCGGCTCCTCCAGCCGGCACGAGGTGGGATGCGGTCCCCCGGCAGGGCTGGACGGGGCCCCCACGAGGGCTGCGGCCCCCCCAGGAAGGCTGGATGTGACCTCTCGGGTGGGCTACAGCCCCCAGGAAGGCTGGATGTGACCCCCAGGAGGGCTGTGGCCCCCCTAGGAAGGTTTGCAGGAGGCTTTGCCCGGCCGGGAGGAGCAGAGCATCACGCCTGGACCGGGCGACCGAGCTTTTTAACTTGTTCACCTCCTCCTGCAGCGCCTACCAAAACCAAAACCAAATTATCTGCTTCCTGTTCCTCTTACTGCAGGGAGGCTTCTTCATAATCGCCTTCCCTTCCTAAAGAGATCAAAATCTAGGCTGAAATGATGCATTTTTCACTGACGAGTTACTACAACAGCGTGGGGGGGGGGACACGACTCCCCGCGGCGCCCGGTGGGAGCGGAGCCGGGGAAGGGCAGCATCCGAGAGCGAAACCTGGGAGGGGAAAGAGCAGAGGGAGGGGGCTGCCTCGCCGCCCGCCAGAACTTACTGTAACCCTCATCGTGTCTTTTGTACTGTCCGTGTGCTTTTAAGTTATTAGTGGTGAAAACCAGGAGAGTCTGCAGGCTAACTTTGGATCCAATGGGTGCTCGCTGGCATCGTACTTCTGGAGTTTATTTATTATTATATTATATTTAAATAACTTATTTTTTATACCGCGTAATCTAAAGATTCAAGACCAAAAAGTCCTGGCTGTGGAAAGCTTTCCTCTGCTTGGGACCCAAAATGAAAAGGAAAAGCCAGTCTTCAAGGGTTCTATTTTTAAGTTATATACGAGTATTTCTCTAGAGTACAGTCATATTTAAAATATTGCTACCTCATCCTTAGGAACTATAATTGCCTAATTGCTTTTCCAGGACAACAAACGAACGCGTGTTGAGTCGTAATTTATTGTTCTTCCCTCTATTTAAAGTATTTGTATTACGACAGAGTTAATATATTCAAATTACCATGTATTTTGATGTCTTCGTTTTATTTTTATTTTTCGTTTCAACTTTGCACTGATGTTAGAAAAGTGTCTCAGGGCTTAAGCAATAAACTACTGAATAACGAGCTCTTGGCACTGATGGTTTCTGCTGTCAATTCCCCTCTTCTTACCCTCAGCAGTTAATGGGAAGTGTTGGGGGGTGCTGCCTCCTTGGTCAGTTGGCATGGGGGGAATGGGATGGGGAAAACCGGTATTTTAGGGCAATATCACAGAATTGTCTGGGTTGGAAAAGCCCCTGCAGCTCCTCCAGTCCAGCCACGACCCTCCCCCTGACCCTTCCCAACTCCCCCAGATCCCTCAGCGCTGGCTCAGCCCGACTCTTCAACCCCCCCAGGGATCCCGGGGACTCCCCCCTGCCCTGGGCAGCCCATTCCAACGCCCAACAATCCATTATACACAGCACACACAGGATAGATACAGCAAATCTACTCAGTCTGCCATTAAGAGCAAGATTTCAAGAAAGTAAAAGGCACCAATGAACCTACCTGGCTTGTGGCGTAGGAAATCACAGGGCGAAGGGAAGGGTTGGAGGAGCAGGGATGAGAGTCCTCGGTTGGGATGAGGGTCTTTGCCAGTCAGAGGGACCTGGGGGGGTTGAACAGGAGCCAGCAGTGTGCCCGGGGGCCAAGGAGGCCAACGGCATCCTGGCTGGTGTCAGCCCTGGCGTGGCCACAGGGACAGGGACGGGATCTGAGCCCTGGGCTCGGCCCTGGGGAGGCCGCCCCTCGATTCCTGGGTTCAGTTCTGGGCCCCTCACCCCAAAAAGGCCATTGAGTGACTCGAGCGTGGCCAGAGAAGGGCAACGGAGCTGGGGCAGGGTCTGGAGCACAGGGCTGCTGGGGAGCGGCTGGGGGAACTGGGGGGGTTCAGCCTGGAGAAGAGGAGGCTGAGGGGAGACCTCCTGGCCCTCGGCAACTCCCTGCCAGGAGGGGGCAGAGAGGGGGGATGAGTCTCTGGAGCCAAGGACCCAGCGCCAGGCCCCGAGGGAATGGCCTCAAGCTGCCCAGGGCAGGGTCAGGCTGGCTCTGAGGAAGGATTTCTGTGCAGAAGGGG